TATTTTTCACAATAAACACATTTTTTAAATTTTGAGGGAACGCTACGAACAGGTTCATGGATAAACAAATGGTGGTATATCCATACAATGAAATATTATATAATTCCTGTGTGGTTAGAGGTTTCTGGAAAGATGAGTAACACTTTTAAGCCAATCTGCTTTAGTCATCTGAAGATTTCATGTTGAATGCAATAAGTACTACACATTTTTGCTTTTCTAAAGGAATATTTGCCAGATGTTAAAATAAAAGTAATTATTTACAATCATAAGTAATGGAAGGGTGAAGAATTAGACACATTCACAAGAAAAAAACTCATTCCAACAAAGAGAAAAACATACTGGATTATACTGTGTATACTTTCCCTTTCATATGAAGAAAGAATGGATTAGGAGACTTCATGATTTATTTATATAAGAATAATGATGGTCGTTACCATTTCTTACCTGCCTACATAGCATAAACTATTCACCATGATAGGTACTTATATATTTTAATTCCAATTGTCACAAAAACTTCTAAGAATGAAGTACTGTTGCCCCATTATTCCTTAACCTTTTCCCACTCCACTCATTCCTTTCTATTCAAACTCATTCACCCCAGACATTTTGCAAATTCGTCCAGCAAGTAAAATAACTTTTACTTTTCTCGTGCCTCCCTTCTAATTTACTTTGTCCAGATGATAGTAACTGAGTGTGATTGGGAAATAAATTTTGAAACACTGAATTTGATCTCAAAGCCCTGTATCTGTCTCATTTTTTTCTGCATTTGCTTCAGTCGGTAGGATTTTGACTAACAAATTTGAAATCACTTGAGAAAATCTTAAACTCATCTGTCATTGTTTTTTCCCCAGTGGTAGCTAAAGATCGCATTCGAGGACCTTTGCCAGAATAAACAGACTACATCATTAGTGAGACCTCTGAAACCTAACTCCCAGTCATTTTTAAAGGATGTGTCAAGGCTGGTCCTCTTTAGTTTGCCCTTTACAGAAATAGCTTCTCAGCTCTCAATAACCATTTCCTTTCGGGGTGCATTGTGTAGCCCACTAAACTTAGAATATACAAGCTTTTTCATTTCTGAGCTTTTCATTGATACAGGAAACTAAGAATGATCTACTGATGTTTTATAATTGTTCAGTTTTAATGCATTTATTAGACTGGAGGTCATAAGAAATCAGCTTTTCTTCTTCTCATTGATACTTGGGAAAATAATTTTACAAGGCTTTCAGGATGGAAACAGTCACTAGAAGATCAAAAGTGTAAATACTAGTAATCCTTTTGAGTAAGCAGCATCCTACTCAAAGCATAAGCTATTAAGAGGGATTTGATTTGACACTTTATGTCTTCTGAATTGTGGTGTTTTAGAGCAGGAATGGCCCTGATGAGACATCAAGTCAAGCTCCTTCATTTTATACATGGGAAACTGATTCAGAGAAAGTATATGCTGTTTGGGCAGCGGCAGAGCTGGAACCAAAACCCAGGATTCCTGGCTTCTGGACCTCATAGAGCAATTTCTAAATGACTTTCACACAGAATATAATTTTAAAAGAGTTTATTTAATAAACTTAAAAGTTAATAATTGAAAAGCATTTTAAAGCTTCTATTGGAATATTATGTTATACTAGGTGTGATACTAGGTGGTTAAAACATGGGATATTACCTACTTTCTAACCTAACATCAGAAAATTTTTATACCTACCGCTGTACACAAATATATATACATATATACACATATATGTGTGTGTGTATATATATATGTATATATGCATATGTACTCACAAGCCCCAAAACATGTACATATATACCTATACATACATACATCTGCACACATATTTACCTATATATACATACACATATGTATTCCAACACATCCACATACATATGTGTGTATATATCACATAAACACACATATATGTACACACACAAACACACATGCACACACACAGATAGCAGGATAGTAGAAAATAAGGGCTCTGGCATCAGGCAAACTTATAACGCTACTGATACTGGCTTTATTCAGGTAATTATGTAAACTTTTAAAATCTAAGGTTCACCATTTATAAAATGAGGAAAGTACTACTGTTCTTAGACTGACTATGAGAAACAAATAATATGTTAAGTGTTTAGCACACTCTCTGCCATCTAATAAGCTTTCAGTAAATGTTAGTGGCTAACATTTGAACACTATGTACAAAATGTGAATAATGAGTAACCTTAAGAAACAAGGTTTCATTATCTTCTCCATGCTGATCATCATTATCATGGTAGGCTGGGTACCTCTGTTTTGAGGACTGGGCTTAAACCAAGGGAAGTGCCATTGTCTTATTAATTTGGAAAAAAAGAGCTTCTAAACAGAGGGTAACATTCTCAGTCCTGATCCGTGGCGGAAGCAGAAAAGCATCCCAGGAACCTGGAAGGTGGGGGATCCCGACAGCCTGTGGAATAGCCTTGTCCCCCGTCAAAAGTGAGCAGAAGCCACTGTGGGTGTTCAATGTAAATGAAGACACTCACACATGTCAGTTTGTCGCTGGTGGACAGTGGCTCTCTGGATCCACTGGGAGAAAACTGGTGGATGAGAAGCTTAGGCAATAGGCATCCAGGGTGTCATGGTCTGAATTCTGATGCTGGGTGTGGGGGAGGGGGGAGTGAGTGTGAGGGGAAGAGGAACCAGACTGACTGGAATCTGGAAAGGTCAACGGGACGCACAGCTGTTTGTCTGGGGCATAGCCAGGAGCCAAGGCCAGAAGCTCGGGATGAGTCAGAATGGCATGGGCACCACAGGTGCAGGGTGTCCCAGAGGCCGTGCCAGAACCAAATGTACATCAGGCTGCCCAAACAACCCAGACATAGAGTGGTTCCAAGACCAAGGACAAGGTTACCAGAAATGAATCCAAAGAATTGGTCGAAAGCTGGAAGGAGTGAAGAGAGTAAGTCACAGGCCAGACCAGGGCAGATTGGAGGGAGGACATGACGATGTGTGGCTTCTACTGTCATCTATCCCAGTTGTTCCCTATGCAGAGTTGGTGCCCTTAGGCCTGAAAGTCGATGCAGTGGCTTCTGACAAAAGGAAAGGGAGCAGAGTGAGTATAAGAAGATAAAGGGTTTGCTTTTGTTAGGATGGAAACCTGAGTTAGCCTGCAGACAGGAGTCCACCAGAGGCTAACTTGTAGAGGCTTCTGTGAATCAGGGCCTGGGGTAGGAGTGGGCTTTCTTTATAGGCTTCACTATCTACTGACCCTTAAATGTATCTTTTCCCCCAGGTTCTGTCATAGACCTGCTTCTCATCCCCCTATATCAGTCAGATTAGGCTTGGATTTGCTGCAGTAACAAGTAACCCCCTGATCTCAGTTGCTTATAACAATAAACATTTATTCCTTGCTCTCGCTACATATTCATTGTGAATTGGCTACCACTTGATTTCTCATAGTCGTTATTATGAGACCCACGCTGACTAAGCAGTCCCTCTGAAATGCTGCTGCTTGTCATAGTAGATGGAACAGAGATCATGGATAACTTGAGCTGACTTAAAGCTTCTGCACAGAAAGGAGGCGACACATGTCATTTTCACTCACATCATTGGTCAAAACAAGTCATGTGGCCAAGCCTGACATCAATAAGATGGCAAAATGGAATCCTTCCCCAGGGAGGGGTAATGAATCTTTGTAACAATAACACAGTCCACCCCATGATTGTACCAACCCCAGGGTCATCTCACTACTCCCATACCTCAGTAACTGTCCCTATGATGCTAGATCAGATCTCTGTGCTGAAATCAAAGCCACCTATGCAGCTGCCAGTCAGGCAGTTCTCCTTGGTCATTTTAAACTGAACATGACCAAACTAAAGTTATTTCCTCTTCAGCATTTTGTCTCTTTTTTTATTAAACACCCACTGTCCACCTGATTACCCAAATCAGACACCTGGGTGTATCTTTGACTTCTCTATCTCCTTATTCACCCCGTATCCAACCATCAGTCAGAAAATTCTCTTGATTGTACCCAGTAAATGTCTCTTGAATATTTCTGCTGCTTTTCATATCTGCTACCCCTACTAGTTCAGGATATAGTCTTTCTGTTCTGGACTACTTTTGTGAGCTCCAAAATAACCTCGATGCCTCCATATTTCCCCTTGCCAGTCCATTCCACCCAGCACCCAGAGTGATCTTTCTGGTTTGCAGATCTTACAGTATACCCTTCTGTTGCCTCCTCTGCTTAAGCTCTTGCATCGCTCCTGATTGTTCTGAGAATAAAGCTGTGGAATACTAAACTAATAAGATTCATCTGCCTCTCCAATCTCACCTTAGCCATATCCCACCTCTCACAACTGCTTACGTTTCATGCCCCCGCCACACTGAACCCTTTCCATTTTCTCTACGGTGCCCTGCTCTCTCTTACTTCTAGAATATTGCGGGTGTTGTTCCTTCTGACTGTTATGATGTGTATCCTCTCCAGCTAGCTAACTTGAACTCATCCTTCAGATCCCAGCTTAAGCCTCACTTCCCCCAGGAAGCCTTCTCTGGCCCCTTCCTAAACTAGGTAAGTGGTCCCATTATGGACTTCCGGGCACTGCACTTCCTTTTCTATGGCAAAGGTCACCCTTTAGAACTCGCTTAAATGTCTGTTCTCTGTTTTGCTGCTACCCTGAAATCTCTTTGAGGGCAGTGACTAGTTCACTGTTATGTCTCCAACTCTGAGCAGAGTGCCTGGAATAGTCTAGGTGCCAGTAAGTGTTTATGGAATGATGATGAATGCCCATTTATGGTATCAAACAGTGGGGTTTGGCCTGCACTCAAGAGCAAGGCCAGAGGACCTGAAAAGGTCCTGGCTTCCTTAATGTCAAGGGAAGTGAAGAGCGACTAGCTCAGCTTAGGGCTAGAGGGATAGTATCAAAGTAAAGCAGATTCCAGACAAAGGAAAAGGAAGAACAGGCAGGGTTGGGAAGAAGTGAGATCCACCAGAATATGAGTTCCTGGAGAGAACAGATTTTTGTTTTGTTTACTGCAGAATCCCCATGCCTAGAAGAGTGTTCAACACGTATGAGGCAGTTGATAAATACTTCTTCACTGAGTGAATGAATGAACAAACTGTGGATCAGTGTTCTTGGCTCCAAGAACCCAACCTGGCTGATGGAAGCAGAAAAAGGATTTCCTGGAAGAAGATAGAGTAGTTCACAGAATCAACATAAAGACCAGAGAATCAAGTCCAGCAAATAAACAGCAACCCACGGCTGCCAGGCAAGTGGCGCCGTGGCCAATTGCATCACAGGCATACCCTGCTAAGGACACTGCCGCTGGCACCACTGCTGTCAGATGCTGCTGTCCCTGGCACTGCCACCACTGGTCATTAGCTGCGGTGCCTCATAGACTCTAACACCACTGCCCTCCTTGTGGGTCAGGCAGGTCTCCCTGACCCTGTAACCTGGCTTGACTTTTTCAAGATTCAAAGTCCCAGACGGAAATACCTTGACCGGCTGAACCAAGGTCTACTGCCTGCTCGCAGTGTCCAAAAGCAGAAGAGAGTGAATGTTTGTCCCCCGTCAGCAGAGGGGGCCATGCTTCCGCCTGTGTTAGGATTTTTCCCTTCATAAGACAGTCATTCAGTGCTGGGCAGCCTGAAAAGCTCTAAGTGTTCACGATGCGAGGCCTAGACCAAAAAAAAAAAAAAATCAGAATCAAGGAAGTTTTTCTCTCATGTAAAATATTTTCTCATAACTGCTCACTCTTAAAAATACAAACATGTCTTCTCAGAGACATGCACTAAGGCCCTGTATATGATGAAGACATATTATAGTATAATGTATGGTTTGCTGGAATATAGTGTAACAATGTATATTTAGCTATGTTTTTATTAAGTATTATAAATCTCTATTTCTTATAATTCAAAAAAAAAATCAGTTCAGAAACTTATAAGGTATAAAATGCAAGTCCAGACTTTACTTCCCAATCCCTATTCCACCCCAAGAAATAACCACTGTTTTCAGTTGGGGATATGCTCTCTCTCTCTTTTTTTTTTTAATTGGGGAACAGTGTTTTTCCAGGACCCATCAACTCCAAGTCAAGTAGTTGTTTCAATCTAATTGTGGAGGGCACATCTCGGTGGCCCATTTAGGGATCTAACCGGCAACTTCGGTGTTATGAGCACTGTGCTCTAACCACCTGAGCTAACCAGCCGCCCCTGGGGATACGCTGTTACACACTTCTTCAAAAAACTCCTTGGATAAGAATTGTATCTTACTCTACACAGGGCTGGATTTCATGGCTATTACTGGGTGCTTATAATTTACATATAAAGCTTGTTGTCTCATACTTTTTTCTTGGGAATAAAGTAACTGCTTGGAGTCTGGCGATGTCATTTTGATGGGCGGGCACAATCCGAGTTCTTTGGAGGGAAGGTGCCCACTCTGCCTTTGCCCTAATTGATTTGAGTTGCTGAGGGGACAACTTCCTGTTCAGGATGCCTCGTGTGGAGAGTTCTGTTCTTAAAAAACAAAACTTATCTGAAATGATATTTTGCTGGGATTTTAAAGAAATAAAGTGCTAGAAGGAAGCCATCCTCCTCTGACCCTCGGGGAAGTTATTCTGGGTGTGTAGCTGTGAATATTCCCTGTTGTGTTGGGGGTTCACTGGTCCGTAGCACCCAGGAAGCAGCGCTTAGGCACTCCACAGTGGTGGGGCAATGCAAACACAAGACGTTTTGATATCAGTTTTGCAGAAAGAAGAGAGTTGTTGCTCCAATAAACAATTTGAATTTTAATAAAGTAGAACTACTTGTTAAAAATCTTATTTGTAAGAAATATATTTAAAAAGCATGTTAAAGTTGTATACTCAAGGGAGGTTGGCTAAACACATCTCAGGTTATTACCTGGCTGACCCAAATCGGTCACTGAGATTGGCCCCAATAAGGCTTTGTTCTGGTATCCAGTGTGGCCACTCAAGAACCTAGAAGCAAAATCTAGCACTTCATTCGAGCCTGCTTTGCTCTGTGCTATCACATGCCCAGGTTTCTATCAATGAAAGATGTTGCATATGTAGTTTTTGAACAGTGCCATGTGCTTCTACTTTACCAAACAAGCCCTTCAAAGTATTTCTCCACAGAAGGGAACAGATCCGATAATATTAAGATATGACATCCAGGATTCCCATCCAAAACCTTTATGCCTGAAATCAATGCCATAATCATACCTAAACTGGAAGCAGTTTTGTTTTATACTCATTGAAATGGGACATGTTTTAGGTCTTTTTGACAGAATCTAATGAAGAGATATGGATTGAAATTTTAAAATGTGGATTAATTGAGACAATTCCATTTTGGAATCACAGCCAAAATAAGTCAGCTGTGAATCAACTGAAAACATGTGGACATTTTGAGTGATGATAACAGAGAAGAGCCTTCATTAAAAATATTATTTTACAGCATATAATTATAACAAAATTATAATGACTATGACAGAAAGCCATACATTTTGTTTATACAAAGAAGTATTGTTGGTTCTTTAAAAGAAGGTACCAGTTACAAGTGACAGCATTTAAAAAGAGATGAAAGCAATAAACTTTGATATTTGAATATGAATTTGAATTTAATTAGCTCTTGCCTTGGTGTCTTAGTTATACAAACAATTCAGTGGGCTAAGGATGTTGGAAAACCCAGGGTCGTCTGAATCTGTTAAAATAATACCCTTGTTATGTCTGAACAGGAAGTGAACAATTCTGTCATGTCTCCAAGGAGAGGCTGGACCACTGAAGGGTTAACAGTGGCCCAAGGAAAAGAGTAAGAGGCGTCAGCTGCAGAAAGAGGAAACTGAGTTGGGATGACTGCAGTGAAGAGAAGTGAGAGCTGTGGCGAAAGTAGCAGAGACCTGTGGTGTCTGGAGAGGGCGTCAGTTGAAAGCCATGGCCACGCTGAGGCTAGTTGTCTTGTGAGCCCATGAGCCATGAGCCAGATACTCTACTGGGCTTTGCAGAATTTCAATAGAGCCACAGGGTTCTACGTGGAAATGAAAATACATGTCCACATAGGTCTTGGCTACACCAATATTCCTAGTAGCTTTATACCTAATTGCCAAAAATGGAAAACAGCCCAGAAACTGAAAACCACCCAGATATCCATCAACAGGTAGCAAGTAGGATGCTGCCCACCAATAAAGAGGATGCACATAGCAGTGTGGAAAAATCTCAAAATCATTATGCTGAATGAAACAGCCACCACTCCCTCCCAATAAAAATAGGGCATGTTATGTAATTACATTTATATAAAACTCTAGAAAATTCAAAATACTCTATAATGAAGAAAACAGACCAGTGGTAGCTTGGGGATGCGTAGAGAGAGGGAGGGATTGCAAAGTGGCACAAGAACTTTAGGGGTGATGGAAATTTTTGGTAAATTGCATTGGTTTCATAGATATGTTCATATGTCAAAACATATCAAATTATACACTTAAAATATGTAAAAAATGTCAAACAAAAAAACCTCCGAAAAAGAGAACAGGGACTGTTAGACAGTAAATGCTCAATAAATGTTAGTTAATAATAATGGCAACAATAATATGAAGTAGGCACTGTTATTATCTCCATTTCACAGATGAGGAAACTGAGGCCAGGAGAGGTTAAGTAACTTGCACGAGGTCACACAGCCAACTAGTGGTATGGCTAGAATGCAGTCTAACTCTGGGATCTGAACCTTACAGTAGGAAGAAGGGTGTGAAGACAGAGCCAGAATAACAAGCAGGCCCAGAAAGAAGGTTATAAGAGGAAACATTCCAAAGAAGCAGCAAGGGCAAACAGAGAACAATGGGCATGAGAAGGGGTTCCAATTAGAACATTTTGTGGCCATTCTTTATTAAGTACAGGAACTTCCCTTTTCTCTTTCAGTTTTTAACTCATGTATCATAAAATTTACTCATTTAAAGTGTATATATAATTCAGTGGTTTTTAGTATCTTCACAGGGTTGTGCAACCATCACCGCAATCTAATTTTACAACCTTTTTGGCAACTCAAAAAGTAATGCTGTACCTTTCAGCTGTCACTCTCCATCCTCCACTCCTTCCCAACCCTTTTTCCTGCTCCACCCTGGAGCCCTACCTAGAAAACCAGGACTCTGCTTTCTGTCTCTATAGATTTTCCTCTTTCGCATATTTCATGTAAATGGAGTCATGCGACTTGTAGCCATTTTGTGCCTGGCATCTTTCACTTGTATAATGTTTTCAAGGTTCATCTGTGTTATCACACATATCAGTACTTCATTCATTGTTGTGGATGAATAGTAAGTAGTTCATTCTATGGATGTATCACATTTTGTTTATCAAATCGTCAGTTGATGGACACTTGGGTTGTTTGTTTTCAGTTTTTGACTCTTATGAATAATGCTGCTATTCTCAATCAATTTTGTTTAAACAACTGATGGTTATTTTGACTGGTAAAGAGAGAGGCAAGTATTAATAACAGGCACAAATACCATCGAAGCGGAAGGCTATTTATTTCCAGGTCTTCTGGCTTATTTTGAATTTAACAAGACATGTGGGGACTCTTTTGAAACAGTTTCCTCTGTGGTAAAGAAGTTAGGCTACGGGGAACAAGAATAGTGTTTCCTAATACTAGTGTTTAGCGAAATTATTTGCAAAATAACAGATAACATTTATTGAACCCTTCTTCTCTGCTTGGCACTTTCTATGAGGCTGGCATGTATTTACCAATATAAGTTTTACACTAATCTCTGTGCTAAATAGGACTATTATCCTTACTATAGAAGAGGCTGGTGAGGTCCAGAGAGGTTGTACACAGCACGCTGGTGATGTCTGGTTGTACCTCTGACCCACCTCTGAGTTCACCAGTAGCTGCGGGCAGACAGCTTCTCATTGTAACTGCCTCCAGCCTCTTGCTTTCTGCTTCTCAGCCGGAGGCTTTCTCAGGAGCCACAGGGACTTTAGCTCAGATTGTCTGAAAGGCAGCTTGGCAGTGAGAGGGACCTAATGACTCCAGGGCAACCCTAAACTAAAGAGGTAAGTAAATAATCAGCTTCCGTCTTTCCTTCTGGATGTTCTACATCAGGAGTCAGCAGACTTTTTCTCTTAAGATCCAGGTAGTAAATATTTTCACCTTTGTAGACCATGCACGCTCTGTCCCAAAGATGCAGCTCTGCCCTTTCAGCATGAAAGCTGCCATAGACAACACTAAAAAAATGAGCCTGGCTGTGTGCCAATAAAACTTTATTTACAAAAAGAGGCAGTGGGTCAGATTTGACCTGAGGGCTGCAGTGTGCTGACCCTATTCTCCATGACTCCCCAGTTGAACCCCAGTGCCCCCACACGTAACCCATTCTTTGCCACACCCTTCGTGGCTTTTTTTCTTTCCTGTATCATTGGCACATCCTCATTTTTGCTTCCTGAGATCGCTAATAGAAAAAGTCCCTGCCCCAAATTCCTTTTCACAAGCCAGGACAATGCTATTAATACAATGGTATGACAGGCTGATGACGTGAAGGAGTCACAGGCTCTGCTGTGAGCCTGAGCCGCTGTCCTCAGTGGCCCTGGGCAAATGACTTCACCTTTTTGTGCCTCAGTTTCTTCATCTGTAAAATGGGTATTATCACAGAACCTGCCACAAAGTGTTGTTATAAGCATTTTATGTTAATCTTTATAAAAGAGTAGAGTGCCTAATACAGTGCACGTAGATGTTATAAAACATAGAGACTTTTGCATAGTTGATAAAGTTTTTCCTCCATTTATGGAAAAGTGTTTTAACACCCTTTTTCAGGAAAACTTCATAATGAATTGATGAACTTTTATTATTTATCATAGTGAGAAATATTAATAGCTGACCAGTATTATGCATTTTCACCCAGTTTGGGCCTTGATTTGCAAATCTGATGTCTTTCATTTTTAAATAGCACAAAGCACAAAGAGTTTTTATCTTTTAGAGCTATATACTGAAATATTTATTGATGAAATAATACATTGAGGATCATCTCTAAAGCAATCTGTGTGAGAGAAGTTGGTTTGGATATAAACGAAACAAGATTGGTCCTGAGTTGACAGTTGTTGAAGTTGAGTGCTGGGACCTGGGAGTTCATTATACTCATACTATTTTCTCTACTTTCCTATTTGTTTGAAAATTTCCATAATTTTAAGTTTGAGAAAAAAAACAGTTTTAAAATTTGTAAAAAAAACCTAGGTGTTAGAAGTACTGCATTATAGGACAGAAAGGAAAAACTACCTCCAGTCATGTCCAGGGCACCACTACATCTAAACCTTCTGCAAGATTTATCTTATGTGGTCAGCGTTGGGGGAAGTGGCCACCTGACATTCAGCTAGAGAAGGCAAGATGTGCTAACACCCAGCAAAATTGGAACGTGGACCTTATCGTCATAAATAGGCAAACTTCAAGAAGAGTATTTGAAAGGGGCGGTCAAAACAAACATTTGAAAGCGATCAGAGTATGTGTTCAGTAAAACACTTGGGATCTATAAAGTAGTTATAGCATTTGTCCAGGAGAATATAACATTGAAGATCTAGAAAGAGGTCATGGTGTTTGCTGAGTAGAGTGAGTCATTAAGGGTTTTAGCTTTTAGAGTATTTCTATGAAGTTCAGTTGATAATGGACAGGAACGCCACAATGCCCCCATGATGTGAGTTTCCAAATCTATACTTTAGTACCTAAGAGTCCTCAGGCGATGGGTAAATCGTTCCCTGGATTTGCTCATCATTTCCCTGGATTGCTCATCACTACTATAGAAGAACTTTGAAGGAAAGAAAGGAGAAGAAGAGGAAGGTCTGCCTGGAAAGCAACAGTGAGCTACCAGGGTTGGCAAGGCCAAGACTGTCACAAGCCTGTGGTCCAGTGACTTCCAGTTCATACCAGTGGCCCTGAGAATCTTGATGCTGCATCTTCAAGCTGTTCTTTGAGATTTCTGTTGTGATCTTCACTGAATCAGCTATGAATGTCATGGGGTAGTTGTAGATTTTTACTTTCACAGTATGTGACTCAAAGTTCTGTTGCGTTTGAGGAGGAGGCTGATATTCTTGTGCAATGTCATTGGTAGGATATGAACTAAAACCTCCATCTCTGGAGCCCTAGTTTTTTCAGTTATCCCTTATGTCCTTGTAATTCGCACAGATTGTGTGATGGTTTTGAGTTCATGGGGGCCACAGATAACTTGTGCTGATTTACAGGTGGAAATCAAAGAAAATCAACACCCGTGGTTGATGACTTGCAATCATCGTCATGTGCTGATTGATGCCCAAGCCCTGTGACAGCTCCAGGTCACCCACACAAATCTCCTCCATTGCTCTCCCACTTTGGCACTCAGACATATCTTGAATTCAAATGGAGTATCTGATGCCCTTTCTGGCAAGTTTGGACTGAAAAGTATGAATGCTATATATATTTTGGAATAATATTAAAAAGATGCATGTGAATACAGTGTGATATGAAAAGCATGTTGTTAATGAAATAG